CTCCCCCATCTCTCCTCCACATCTCGTGTCGCAGGCGGAGACTCGCTCGTGTGAGATCATCTCTCCCCCGTGCCTCCCCCACATCTCCTCCACATCTCGTGTCGCAGGCGGAGACTCGCTCGTGTGAGATCATCTCTCCCCCGTGCCTCCCCCATATCTCCTCCACATCTCGTGTCGCAGGCGGAGACTCGCTCGTGTGAGATCATCTCTCCCCCGTGCCTCCCCCATATCTCCTCCACATCTCGTGTCGCAGGCGGAGACTCGCTCGTGTGAGATCATCTCTCCCCCGTGCCTCCCCCATATCTCCTCCACATCTCGTGTCGCAGGCGGAGACTCGCTCGTGTGAGATCATCTCTCCCCCGTGCCTCCCCCACATCTCCTCCACATCTCGTGTCGCAGGCGGAGACTCGCTCGTGTGAGATCATATCTCCCCCGTGCCTCCCCCATATCTCCTCCACATCTCGTGTCGCAGGCGGAGACTCGCTCGTGTGAGATCATCTCTCCCCCGTGCCTCCCCCATATCTCCTCCACATCTCGTGTCGCAGGCGGAGACTCGCTCGTGTGAGATCATATCTCCCCCGTGCCTCCCCCACATCTCCTCCACATCTCGTGTCGCAGGCGGAGACTCGCTCGTGTGAGATCATATCTCCCCCGTGCCTCCCCCACATCTCCTCCACATCTCGTGTCGCAGGCGGAGACTCGCTCGTGTGAGATCATCTCTCCCCCGTGCCTCCCCCATATCTCCTCCACATCTCGTGTCGCAGGCGGAGACTCGCTCGTGTGAGATCATCTCTCCCCCGTGCCTCCCCCATATCTCCTCCACATCTCGTGTCGCAGGCGGAGACTCGCTCGTGTGAGATCATCTCTCCCCCGTGCCTCCCCCATATCTCCTCCACATCTCGTGTCGCAGGCGGAGACTCGCTCGTGTGAGATCATCTCTCCCCCGTGCCTCCCCCATATCTCCTCCACATCTCGTGTCGCAGGCGGAGACTCGCTCGTGTGAGATCATCTCTCCCCCGTGCCTC